TTGGAGACTGTTTAATCTTGCTGTCAGACCTACCTCAATCTCAATCAGCTTTTTAAAAGTTTAAGACACTGGCTGGATTATGTTCTATCGCTTGAGTTTGCATTATATTGAATTCCAAAATGATGCGGTCACTCTCGCCTAAATGTCCGTCAACTTCAACTCCCTCTGTCACTTCTTCTCTATTAGTAAGAATTAGGTCCAAGTATAGCTTTTCCTCTAGTTCCCTCCTCTACCTTTTGGAGGACAAAGTTGTCGGCCAAGTTTTTATTTATTTATTTATCTATTTATTTATTTTATTTGGTTTGTCAATTGCTTACAAGATAATAGGTATAAGTAGAAACATAGTTATGAATACATGGATACACATAAGAAAAACAAAAGAAACAATAGGACAGGAATGGTAAGCACGTTGGTGCGCTTATGCACGCCCCCTACAGACCTCTTAGGAAAGGGGTGAGGTCAATAGCAGTCAGTCTAAGGTTAAAGTTTTTGGGGTTTGGGGAAGAAACCACAGAGTCAGGTAGAGTATTCCAGACATTGACCACTCTGTTGCTGAAGCCGTATTTCCTGCAATCCAGTTTGGTGCGATTAACCTTGAGTTTGTACCTATTGTTTGCTCTTGTGTTGTTGTGGCTGAAGCTGAGGTATTCATTGACAGGTAGGACATTGCAATGTATGATTTTATATACTATACTTAGATTGGACCGAAGGCGACATAGTTCTAGGTTTTCTAGGTCTAGAATTTCAAGTCTGGTGGCATAAGGTCTTCTGCAATGAGTAGAGGAATGGAGAACTCTTCTTGTGAAATATTTCTGGACTTTCTCAAGTTGGTTAGGAATCTGTTTGATCTCCCACTTCCTGCAAGGTTTGTCTCCCAGTTGATATCAGGATAGTTAAAGTCCCCCATTACTATTGTGGTGTGTTTCCTACGTACATTTGTTAGTTGTGTAGCAAAATATTCATCTATATCTTCTGCTTGGTGGGTGGCCTGTAGTATACGCCTATAGCAATTTCATTTTCCCCCCTTTTATCAATATAAAAGGATCCCATATGGATTCTAGGAGGTTTTCATCCTTGGTTTTCTGTAGAGTTCTGGTGATCTTTTATGTGTAATGCAACTCCACCTCCTCTTCTGTTAGGCCTGTTTCTTTTGAACAGTTTGTATCCTTCCATCGGTACATTCCGGTCATGAGTTTCATCCCACCATCTTTCAGTAACGGCAGCTATGTCATATCTGCCTTCCTGTGCTAATACGTCAAGTTCACCCTGTTTCTGAGCGTTTTTGTGCATAGGCATTTTTTGTCCTTTACGGGTCTTGGGTATGTTTCTTTTATCTCCTGTTTTGTAACTGAGTTTTCCATTCTTTCCATCACCCTCCATTGTGTTTTTCCGTTTTTTTCTTTTTCTTCTCTCTCTTTACTCCCTACCTCCTTATATGATTGGTTATTGGTTAGTGGAATTAGGTTCTAAAGATCTTGAAGATTGCCCCCCATCCCCCCCACCTCAATTTAAGTTTCAAACCCTTCTGATGAGATGAGCCAGTCGTTTTCCCAATATATTCTTTCCAGGTCTTGTGAGGTGCAGTCCACCCCTTGCCAGGAGCCCTTCAGGTAGGTCAGGCAGACCATGGAGTAGGAAGACGAAGGTCTCTGGACGGCATCAGTTTTTAGGCCAGTGGTCCGTTTCTAAAATCCTTTGCTCCCTCGTTGGATATCGACCTTTTGTTGGAAGTGGTTGTACTCCCAATCCTTTAGCTTTCTTCCCTAGCTAATCGTAATCTCTTGTTACTCTTTTCAGAATCATTGTTGTATCGTTGGTCCCCCCATGTGTCGGAGAAAAAAGAGGTAGTAATCCGTGGGGTTGATATTTAAGTACGGTTCTCAGTTACATCTTTGATTTTTGCTCCAGGGAAATAACATCCCTCCCTAGATTGACTGTTCAGTCTGCAGACTATAGTTTCTCTTCCCCAAAGAATTGAATCTCCTATCACAATATTCACCTTTTGCTCCCCTAAGGAAGTCTAGGATACTATTCTTCCTTGGGTTGTGTCTCCTTTTTAGAAACTATTGATGAGTGAAACTCTTTTGTGAGTGTGTGCATGTTTTCTTCTAGGGGGAGGCTATGGAAGTTCCAATCCAGAAGGGCTTCCCTGGAGTAGACGAGGGTAGATAGTCCAGGCTTCGCTCTTGGTTGCTGTTTTCTTCTAAAAGTGACAGGTTTCCATCCATCTTTCTCTTTAGGTTCATATATAGCAGGGGTGTCAAATTTGCTTCGTCATGGCGGTGTCCTGCGACGTATTGCGACTTCTCCCCCCTTCGCTAAACTAGGTGTGGGCGTGGCCAGCATGTGATGCATTCGGCCCACGGGCTGCGAGTTTGACAGCCCTGATATATAGGATCATTTTTTATGGAAGCTCTTTGCTCCCAATTGTTTTTAATTTGGGTGTAGTCTTCTTGTTTAGGTTGGGGATTCTCGCTTTGTTCATTGAGTTTCAGAATGCTTAAGAGTTGCTTCTAGACCCTTTTTCTTCCAGTAATTCATATACTTTACATTTGACACATACATAGTTTGGGTCTTCTGTGGGCATCAGCTCAAATATATGACATTTTAATTTATTTTATTTGTTTCTCAAACATGTGCAGGATAACACGCATAGGTATGGACATAAACATGAACACAGGGAGTAAATACAGATGAATGGGGACAGTAGGACAGGGGCGGTAGGCACACCGGCCCACGGTAGACAGTTTGAGGTCCAAGCTGCGAGGGGTTGAGGCTGCGACCATGGAGTCAGGTAGGGCGTTCCAGGCGTTGACCACTCTGTGGATGAGTTTGGAGCGGTTTACCTTGAGTTTGTATCAGTTGTTTGCCCATGTGTTATTGTGGTTGAAGTTGAAGAAGTCGTTGACGGGCAAGACATTGTAGCAGACAATAATCTTGCAAGTCACTATAATGTCAGTCTCTTATCTTCATGATTTTTTGGTTTGTTAAAAAATAAAAAATTTCAAAAAATATATTTTCCCTGTTACAAAGTGTAACAAAATGGGGCACACCCCCACCCCTGGTCGTCGGGGTATTGCAGGAGGCGTCCATGCCGTCCCCCCCCCCCATCCCGTCCCGTCCCCCCGGAAAAGTACAATGCTGCTCCGGCCTTCCAAGAAATCCAGTTTGACACCCCTGCTCTATATCCTCCCTTGAAAGTTTATCCTCCCTGTGCACAAGTGTGGTGTCCTTATCCTTTTCCAAGCTGCCTTCTTGCCCTTCAGTTACCTCAACACTGCCAGGGTTTTCAGGTACGATGTGCTGACCTGGGTGCCTTGCTCTGCTTAGCTGCTGCTCTGCTGTGCTGCTCTCCGCCGCTGCTGTGGGCCCTCCAGCCTGCTATCATACGTAGCTCTGCACCACTGCTACCCAGTTGGTCTGCCATACTGCTCTCAGCTGCTGCTCTGAGCTCTCCGCTCCTCTGCTCCTTAGCTCCACATGGCTGCTGCTCAGGGTCTGCCCTGTTCTCTCAGCTGCTGGTCTGCTGGCACCTTGCCGTGTTTCCCTGCTGCTCAGAGGCCATCATTTGCAGCTCACAGCGTCCGCTCGGCTGCCTGGCTAGGTGGCTGTGCCTCCTCTCTGTCTCAGCTGGGACACCTCGTTAAAGGATTCTTTTTCCAACATCTAAAAATTCTATTTTTATGCTCATAATTCCCCAAATTTAGAAGATTTTTAAAAAAGAAAATTTAAACAGAAATGTATATTCTTTGATGTTAGTCTTCTATCTAGAATAACAGAGTAACAGTGTTGAAGAGACGCCTACTATTTTGGACCAATGGCTGTCCAATCTCTGATAGGACACCCCCTTCTCTGAAGTCGAGCCGTTTCACTGGTTAGTTGGTTTACACCGTCAGGAGTTCTGAGTTCTCCTTTTGGACTCCTCTGTGGGTAATGTTGATGTTGCCCTCTCAATATAGTTTGTAATCCACAGATGTATTAAGAAATGACATATCCATAACATTTGATAGAGGAAAACAAAAAGCCAAATAAACTTTGCATCCAAGTAAACACTTTAATTGCAAGTATTCTCTTCTCTGCAAGTCCACTCTTTTCCTCCATTCACTTTTTTCCTATAGGTGCAATTCTGTGCATTCTTAGGTTGTTTTTTTTTTTAAAAAAAGCTTTTAAGTAGATTATTCTGGAGAGGCCTCGCTTTTGTATGCTTGCCCTTTGAGGCGTTTCTTCAAAGGTTTCCTCTCCGGATGGACCACAACTACAGACCTGGCTTAATGTCAGACCTGCCCCAATCTGATCCCTTAGAGGAGAAAGGCCTCCGACTCCGTTTGGTTAAACCAAAGGGTCCTTTCAAGAAGGGGGTTGGTTGCAGTAAAGTCAAGTCAGCTCTGAAATCGCCACACTTGCCGGATACAAAAATAAGGGGTAGGCTCGCCCCCAGCCCACCCCCCCCCCCCCCCCCCCGCGACCAAACCGTTCCCAGCCACCTGGAGCTGGCCAAGATGTTTTGAGAATGCTGAGATGTTTGGGGGTAATCAGCATATTTCTCAGGGTGCCTGGCTGTGGGATGGTGGTACAAATCCCTGCTCTGCTCCCTATCACCTGTCACTCCCCCCTCCCGATTTCCTACCACATCAGATATTTTATCTCCTAAGTATATACAATAAAGTATTGCAAAACAAATAAACGCAAATGGCTCTTGGGACAAATGTGGGTATTTGTGAGATGTAATCTTAATTTAAACCTGTCTTTTCATTTTCTGAAGAACTCTGGGATTGAGAAAGCTTTTCTTTTTGATGTTGTCAGCAAGATCTATATTGCAACAGACAGTTCCCCTGTTGACATGCAGTCCTATGAGCTATGTTGCGACATGATTGACGTTGTGATTGATGTTTCTTGCATATATGGGTAAGTAAATGCTCTGAAAGTATGGAACAACAACCGTGAAAGAAGTACTTCAGAAGATCCTTTACTGTTCAGGGGTTTTTGAGAAATGCAAGATAACCTTAAAATTGTGAAGGATTTAGTTTACAAGGTGGGGGGTGCTATGCCTCTTTGCTTATCGTTGGCATGATTTTGTCAACAAAACTGATTTTTGTCCAGGATCCTGAGCAAACATCATATGTCTTTCGTGTCATGATCACGCTACAGGTATTTCTATCAAAATCTAACTGCTACCCAGAGTTACCTAATTGATATAAATTAAATTAAATAGCAAAGGTCATCAGTATTGTGATATTTTCTGGATAGAATATCTTTGGATGCCAATCAAACTAAAAAAACAAATGTAGAATTTTGAAGTGGTTATAAATTGTGACGATTGTAAATTTACAACAGATTAATATTCTTTACAATTTATGACAAACTCCAAAATGTGCAATTGCTTCTTAACTTGATTGACCTACAAAGACATTTTCAACTGAAGTGCCTAAATATCTGAGGCATCTGAGTTGTATCAAGTTTAAATGCTCAGTCTAAATCTCGGGTGTGCTGAACAGTCTTTCTCCTTCAACCTACTTTAGATTAAAAGAAGATGGCAGCGGTAGTGCATATGACGAGGAATCTATGGCAATTATTAAACTCAATAACACAACTGTTTTATATTTAAAAGAAGTGACAAAATTTCTAGCCTTGGTGTGTATCCTCAGAGAAGAAAGCTTTGAGCGCAAAGGTGAGCAAATGGCCTCGTAATTTGGGACCAGCAGCCCAAACAGAAGCATTAAAAACTATCATAATTTTGTTACTTTTTTCCAAAATAGAAAATACGCTCTGTTTCAAACTCAGGGTAAAGCAGTCTCCTCTGAAATATTTAGTCTGAGCCGACCGTATCTTAGTGAGGTGAAAGTTGGGGTATATTTCAAGGGTTCCAAGTATCATACAGGGAGCAGCGTTAGAAATGTTTCAGTTCATTGGAAGTGGTGGCTGCTTGGAATGTCCTTTTTTTCATCTTTTAGTTCAACAAAACTGCAACTGTTGGCCATGTAAATTTTCTAAAATCAGTATTCGAACCGTTGTACAAATGACAATCACAGAAAAAGAGCATTATCCAAAAATTACAATAAATGCCAGGCAGCATAGGTAGCCCCTGACTTCCTGCTTGGATTGATACAATCTGAATCTGTCTCCAAAGCTTCCACCTCTCGTTTCCTGAGCTCTTCCCAACTGATGCCGCTCTTCCCTTTGGTCCCCGTCCCTTTTTCTCCGCAGGCCTCATAGACTACAATTTCCACTGCTTCCGCAAGGCCATCCACGAGGTCTTTGAGGTGGGCCTTTCCTCTCACCGCTCCTGCGGCCATCAAGCCAACATTCCCAATTTGAAAGCAGTGACTCATAACGGCACCCCGAAGGAGGACTGAGTCGGGACGGCCTGGGGCTGGCTTGCCTACCCTGGGCCTGGGTCAGTGCAGGAGCAGCAGCACGGAGGATGGGCGGCACAACGTCCTCCGTTTTGTTTGAAGCAAGCGGAGTCTGCCTTGGGGGCTGGTGGCCCTCCCCAGGAGTGACTGAGGGGAAGCCAAGAGGCTGAGGGGTGCCTTTCGTGGCCATTGGGCAGGCAGCCTCTCCTCCACAGGGGAACTTTTCTTCTTTGTTTCCGGATTCAGCAGCAGGCGATGTGCTCCAGGCGCTCAGAAACTCAAGCGTAGTAGTTCTTAAGTTACTTGAGTATACGCTCCACACATTCCACCTGAGATATCGCATTGTTTTGTGGTCATGCCTGAAAGAAGCCACCTATCCTGTGACCTCTCCTTTGCAAACCCATGGAATGAAAACGCTCGTCTGCTTTTCTAGCTCTAACTGTCCTCAGAACTGTTTGAAAAGTCACGTCTTGCGTTGCCAAGCTTTTGGCCACTCGGTATCAGTGCCTGCAATCATTCGTGCCCTGGTTTTTTTACTCTGATTCTTCTATGCTATTTTTCCCCCTGAAGCGGGTTTGGGTGGCGCTGGCTCCCTCAGCTAGGAAACGGAGATGAGTGCCATCCCCTAGAGTGGGACACGACTGATCAGGAGACACCGTCACGCTCTTCACCAATAAGTCCATGCTGCCGTGGCCAACATGGCTAGAATGCATTCAGTGTCATTCAGTATACAGCTTTGACAAGAACGGAGCAATTATAGGTTTTGGTTGCTAGAATTTGCAAACAATTTTGCTCAGTTTTAACAACATGTGAACTTTCCTTCAGTAGGAATACTTTCCATCTGATGAAATGTTTTCTCTGAATCTTCCTGTAGATCATCTGTGTTTTGACAGGCAAATGCCATTCTCTTAATGATGACAGCACTTCCAGAGCCTCAGACTCTGTTCTTTACTCAAAATGTCAGTGTGAGTTTGTTGAAGGTTTAACAGATGCTTTCACACTCTTCACAGGTGATTGTATTCTGCCAGAAGGTCCTGGCTGGAGGGATAAGATTTTATTAAAATACCTTTTATCTCGACAAGTGTTTCTCCTCTGAATTAAATACAAGGAAATA